AGTAATGCCATGATGGTAAGGAGTTTATTTAATGCATCTACTTGCCATCAGGATGTTCATTTTCAGTAGACTGTACACATTGACCACTGTTATATCTGCAGTTTGTTTAAATGAAAAGTTATACAGAAAGTCTATATCTGTTCACCTATTCTAATAATTTGATTGTCTAATGAATTGAACACTTTCAGCCATGTGTTCATAGCATACATTGCAAGTGTGCAGGTACCCTGGTTGTTGTGTTATAAAATGAAGTAGCTGTCCAGTGGAAGGCAATGGAGCAACATCATAGCTATACAAGGCAAGTACTACAATGTATAAAAAAATAAAACTAAAAAAAAAATAGCAGGAAGATTTGTTACAATCAAAGTCTTATTTAATTCGGGGCGAGTTCGCCATTACAAAATGTGCTACTGAATTCTGAACTTTCACTTACGCGAATAAAATGAGAAACGCTACAGGTCATCCATTACAATAAATTATATCCATGAACACAAAATTGAAACTCAACGCACAGCGCAGACCTGTTGCTGACAAATTGACATTTTTTTAATATTTTTATGTTAATAATTCTCAATTATGTAAATCACCAAAGCTCTATTAAATGCATCATGTGTTAATAATTAGAATCCCGACTCTTTCTCTCATTAAAACAGGTTATTGCCAGGAAAATTATCATGGTTATAATCAGAGAATACTGCAGACCATCCTGCATTAACATGTCAGACTAACCCTTATAAGTCATTAGTACAAATATACACCAATTAGAAATCAGTCTCTCAAACTAACCGAACTTCAGCAGTACATTTAACTTTCTATATGACGCTCCATCTAGATCAAGTTGCAGCTATTATTATTCACTTTTTACAAAATGATTTACGAGTGATTAGACAATAAAATCCAAATGCATGGGCTCTGTACAATATTTACAGAAAGCCAAGGTGGGTGTGTCATTAAAACATTGGAGAAACGAATTTACAAACATACAACCGATGCTATTCACTGTATTATGCTGCATGACATTCATTAGCAGAGAGCTTATCAATTGCGCATTGTTCAAAAGGAAAATTTGAGAGCGCCCTCTATGGCAGACCTCAATTACATGCATTAATACTGTCTGGCCATCCAAGCCCATTTGGCCCTTATTTTAAATATTATGTAAACTAATAGTAGCGATTCCTATTACATAATCAATACCAGGCATCAGTGTACGAATTTTGAATAAAACTACAGCAAAACTAATAAGTAACCAAAAAATTAGGTCAATGAGTTGCACAATAATTTTATACTTATTTGGGGGGCAGTGTAGGTATCTATTGTGTTAACACACAGCGAAGGTTGCTTTCAATATCAATCACCGGTTTCTTGTCAATCTACAGGCGAGAGTGCAATTGTGTTTGCATAGTAAAATCAATACAAGTTAAATGTAATAACTATAATACTTGGATTGGCTAAACTCCTGTAAAATGACCAACTATATCATCCTGTTGCCTTGACAACAACACCATCATTAATTTAAATCTATAAAAGACTAACATATTCTATATTTCAGTTCACAAAACAGAAAATGATGCAGAAAAGCACACCACGACATGAAGCTCTCTTGTAATTGTTTGTTACATTTAAGTTCCTTATCGCACTGTCCATGTGGCCTGAATACACACCCCTTTTTATACATTCTTGCAACTGCTATGAATCTACTTTCAGATTTCAAGTTTTTAAAAAAGAGAGCACAATGAGCTGCCAGCATAAACTGTATATTCTGAATATCCCCGGTATTTTAATATTTAACTCAGTTATAAATATATACACCCCCAGTGCTGAGTTGTATTATTTTTGCAAAGTAGAGCTTCATAAAATGTTCTCTCTATAAGAAATCATCGATATCTTCTGTTTTTTTCTGTGGTTGAAGTAATGGTTTTAATGATTTTTTGTCTTTTCTTTTATGTTGCCTTCCTATTATACCATTTAGTGGTTTTGATCTAGGCTTGTATCCATTAGTTTTTTTGCCTTCGTACAGAGTCTCTTCTTCGGAATCGGTTTCAGAAATCATTATACTGCTGTTTTGTTTACCTGTGAGGTGGAGATAAAAACAAAGACATAATTTAATATCTTTGAGTACAATACACAAAATTGTCCTAAAAACAAAGTATTTGAAAATTATGGCCACAAGAGGGCACTCTTGATTTATGAATAACAGGCCCAGGTCATTTCGGTGATTAAATAAAAAAACATATTTATGTATATAGACCACTTTCCCGGAAATAGCAAGACTGGGGTGCAGGAATACGCCTGCTTTGTCATGATGGAAAATATTCACAGGTCATTTTGCTAATATTCGATAGATGGGAATTTTATTTTTGTCACATCGATTGGTACACACAGAAGCACAATATCACATGTGCATAGTTACGTTACATTCCAAACCGTATGCATGGCCCATGCAAA